ATATATATATATATATATATATATATATATATATACATAGAGAGAGAGAGGGATTGGTTATAAACATGTATAGAAAAGAAGGGCGTGTGGTATAGATAAATTCATTGAAAGCTGTGACAAGATGTGAGGAGCCTTAATGCTGGGTGTTACAAATTTATTTTTGTCTCAGTAAATTGAGAAGTGGAGGTTTAAATTTTATGTTGTTGTCTATCATTATCTATTGTATGAATTTGTGCTTGGTTGGCTTCTTTGAAAATATTAGAAAGGAATGGAGAAAATCTAAAAACATTTGTAAGGAAGATGCATCATGTGGCACACAGAAGTCAAGATTGAAAACCTATTTAAATATTTTCCTTTGAAACTAAGAAATTAAGACACCTAATGTAAAACATTGTATTATATACTATCCTTTAATGCAAGTTTATTACCATACATTAATAGTAAAGTTGTTTAATTAAGTTCTGAATATAACTCAGTAAAAAGGCCATGACATACATATTTTAACCTAGCCCTTAAGCTCCTCAAGTATTAGTTTTAGCATTCATACACCAGTGGAATATCCTATTTTATAGCTATAATTGGAACTCCCAAACAGTGTCAAGGAACAGAACATTCTGTGACCAAACAGGGTTACTCCTTGCAGCAACATTGACCAGCTGTGTTTTTCTATTGCGGGCCTGGCTGATGAACTATGACAGTGTCATATTCCTGCCACATTGTGATCCAATGTGCTATTATCTTCTTCAAATTTTTGATATTCATTATCCACTTTAGCAGATAGTTCACCTGAACAGTGAGAGTATTTCATGAAGACCAACAATGACAAGCAGTGCTTTCTTTGTCATAAAGTATCTGCTTTTGGGAGCCTTAAGCATACAACTAGCAAATGTAATTACACATTCTACTCTATCCTGTAACTGCAGTAACACTTCTCTGATTCAGTTCTCATCAACATAGATGTCTAACAAAAACTCACTGTCTTGTTTGAATAAGCTAAGACTGAAGCATCCACTAAAGTAAGCTTTAGAGATCAGAATACTTGATCACATTTATAGCTCCATTTATACTTATACGAGAACAAACAATGGTGCTGCTATCTTGATGAATTTGACCCCAAATCATCAGTAATATGATGCAAAAGTGAGAGAACTGCAGTCTTCTCACTTGGTCACAGGTCTAAGTCAATTTCTAGCTATCCTACCCGGGTCCATCTCTCTCTACAATGTAACTGAAAAAATCCAACTCTGTTCATTTGAGTAAACATTTTCCAGGTTTTAATTTTAAACCTTCTTTATTTATCCACTGGATTACCATTCTTAAGTTCTCAGCTGCAGGCTCAAAAGAACAATAAAAAAAAACATCTTTGTTGAACACCAGGTATCTCTCCCATTGCAGTCCCTTCAGTATAAGCTCCATTAGCTCTCAAATGTGGCAAGTTTATTACACAGACCCAATGGCATGATGCAGAATCTATACAAACAACCTCTTGTGCTAAAAGCAGTCTTAGGCCTGCTCTCATCACACAGCTTGACTTTCCAGCAACTGGAAGCCATATACAATGTGTTGAACCAATGGGAACCTTCTAATGCATTCCCAGACATTTATCTGCTCAAGGTCAAGGAAAACAACTGCTTGAAGTTACTACTAAGTACCTGGTCACCATGTGAAATTACTTCTGTAAGCGTGAGGATATCCCTCACACCCAAGTGATTTCTCATTCTTTTGCTTGCAATTCTTTCAACAAACTTACCCACGAGGATATCTTTGTGATATGCTAAATCCTTCGCAGGGTATGCCTTATTGTGCTGATGGTGCAGGTTGTCAGTGTAGAAGTGCCATACTCAAGAGTTTTAAATTCAGCTTGACGGATTGCTCAGTTCTCCTTTTGAGATCATATTGGTGCTGCAACTCAGACTCAGGTGTGTCTCAGTCTTCTAGCTGTGCCTCTTCTAAATGCTCAGTAGACCATCCAAGCTCAGAATTAGGCACTGGACTGCCTGCTCCTGCAACCAGTAGTTACCTGTCTGAAATGCTTAGAAAATGGCCCAGATCATCTTTTGTTGCACCTTTGAACATTGATGGGAAAATCTGCTTGACATACTTCTGTGGTAGTGGCCAAAACCCTCATTTTAAATTTTTAGCCATTGCCTGGCAGATAAGATGTTTATGTTATGGGTACAGTACAGTACCCTTACTTATGGGCAATAACTCTAGGATGAGTAGTCAGTCTCTTGTCCAGGGCTGCAGAGTTGCAAATTGCTTTTGGCAGTTACTCCATATGCTCTGTTTGACTCCAGGTTTCTTTGTGATCTGTGGTTGTTGCGGTAGGATCAGCAGGATGTATTATGGAGTATTTCTGTAAATACAACATAAAATTGTAATTACCCTCCCCCTAGCAACAGCACAGATGGTGTAGGAGACTCAGGAACCAAAACACTAAGATTATTCTCTATTGTAACACTGTTGCAGTTAATTCCACCAAAATTATGTTTATAATTTAAATTATGAAACTCACATGCATTACCTTGCATTCATTATTAAATGTCATCAGCCATTTATGTGCCCAACTAAACAAATAATCTAATACTTTTGAAAGGACAAATATTCTTATTACAGCTGGCAACACCTAACAACCTAATATCATCAGCAAGTTCAATTTAGTGGTTCAAGTTCTTATAAAAAGTGCCATTCTAGCAAGCACTAGGGAGTTAGCTAATTAGCTTTGTTGGTAGAGCACTCAACTATTGTACAAGAGGTCTTGGGCTCGAATCCAAACCAAGGAAATAATAACAAGTTGAAATTACTACTGTTACGTCTCTGTTCATTTGTTAATTTCCAGTATAAATTCTTTCCGAGGAACTTCAGCGATACAAGTCCTTTCTTAATTAAA